AGATGTGCTGTTCATGTAGCTTTACTTCAGAGAATAAGTTTACCATAAAGTGATTATTCTCAGGTTTACTAGTCCTAAGAACTTAGATTTTAGTGATTCCTAGGTAACTTCAGTAGCATCCCTACAAACTAAAGTTTGTGGAGGAGTGCCTTAACAGGTGAGGTCTCATATTTTATCTTGGTAATGTTAATTGATTCAAGTACTTTCTAGGCACTGGAGATACAGGGGACCAAAACAGTTTCTGCCTCAAAGGAATTTGCATCCTAATTGGCAGAGAGTAAATGCACGAGCAAACAGTTCCTGTTGCCAGCTTGTTTGTCATTCAAGACAGCTGACTATAGTGTAGTTTAGGAAAATGGCTAGGGTTAGCAAATTACCAACAATTTTTAAAAAGTCAAATTTAAGGCTGGTATGGTGGCTCACACCTGTAATCCCAGCAATTTGTGAGGCTGAGGCAGGAGGATCACTTGAACCCAGGAGTTTGAGACCAGCCTGGGCAATATGGTGAAACCCCATCACTACAAAAAAATACAACTAGCTGGGCATAGCTGTGTGTGCCTATAGTCTCAGCCACTAGGGAGGCTGATGTGGGAGAATTGATTTAGGCTGTGAGTTTGAGCCTCACTGTACTCCAGCCTGGGCAACAAGAGAGACCTTGTCTCAAAAAACAAAACAAAACAAAAAAACAACCCAAAACACTGCAACCTCTGCTTCCTGGGTTTAAGCGAGCACTTTTGGCTAATTTTTGTATCTTTTTTTTTCTTTTTGTAGATACAGGGTTTCACCATGTTGGCCAGGCTGGTCTCAAACTCCTGACCTCAAGTGATCCACCTGCCTCAGCCTTCCAAAGTGCTGGGGTTACAGGTGTGAACCACCACACCCAGCCAAAAAAATAAAAATGTATATATATAAAATAGCTCTCTATATAGATGTTAAATATCAACTATATAACATATATTTTTATTAAATATATACATATTAAATTTATATAAATATATATTTAAATAATAAGATGGGGTCTTGCTATGTTGCCCAGGCTGGTCTTGAACTCCTGGGCTCAAGCAATCCTCCCTCCTTGGCTTCCCAAATTACTGGGATTATAGGTGTGAGCCATCATGCCAGGACTGTTCATGGAAATTTAATAATGCTTATGGTATATTTAGCATCCAACGCTTCCTGATTCTCTTATATGCTTTAAACATGCCCAATAAAGATTAATTAGGATGAGACAATTTAGGACTATGTTTTCTATTAAGAAATTTTTCTATATACTTAAGATATGATTTATTGTCATAGTTTTAGAGATCATATTTGCTGAGGAAAAGTACTCAAATGTACTTTGTCAAAGTGACAAAGATATGACAGGTTTTTGAAAAATTATTTTTGTCCTGTATTTCACATTTCCCCAAGAATACAGAATTTAAGGACAAAAGGTGTGCCTGCTTTGCCTGTTTTTACAGTAAAAAACTGTGTTGATTGTGTTGACTGTGTGTCAGGTAGTAATAAGTGCTTTGTTTTCAATTTTTCTTCTGTTTTAATAACAGCATTAGGAGGAGGTGCCATTACTATCTTGTTTTTACACGTGGAAGATAAAGCTTAGAAGTTAGGGTTTGTGGCCAGGTGTGGCAGCTCATGCCTGTAATTCTAGCACTTTGGGAGGATCGCTTGAGGCCAGGAGTTTGAGACCAGCCTGGATAGCATAGTGAGACCCCGTCTCTACAAAAAAAAAAAAAAAAAAAAATTAGCTGAGTGTAGTGGTGCACGCCTGTACTTCTAGCTACTCGGGAGGCTGAAGTGGGAGGATGACTTGAGCCCAGAATTTAGAGGTTGCGGTGAGCCATGATTGCATCAGCTTGGGCAACAGAGTGAGACCTTGTCTCAAGAAAAAAAAGAGAAAAAAGAAGCTAGAGTTTGTTCAAGATCACATAATTAGGAAAGGACAGCATGAGTGTGGGCCTTCTAACTGCTGAAGGCTGCGCCCTGACCACAATGCTGCACTGCTCTACCAAGCTCAAACTGGACCTCTCTGCATGTCACAGCCTCATTCAGACAGGCTGACTTATCCTCAGGTAAACACCACCATCCCTTACCTTTCAGAAGCCCTAATTTCTATAGCTTTCTAACCAGATGATTTCTCAGGTGTTCCATAAAAATCTGTATTGTGGACGCTTTAAGTTTTTAGAAATGTTCTATTTTCACTCTACACGTATTTAAAAGTGGTATTCTTGTCAGCAAAACAAATGACATATTTGTAAAAAATTCCTTGGAGGACATGGACGTACAGAATAATGCAGGGAGATGTTGTGGTTTGAGCAGCTTATGTAAATTTTTTTTCTTGCTAACAATATAAAACATGTTGGTGTTTAGTTCTGCGTGGTGGTCCTCTCGCTGGAAGCTACAGGTTACGGCAGTTTCACCTTCACTGGGGGTCTGCTGATGACCACGGCTCCGAGCACATAGTAGATGGAGTGAGCTATGCTGCAGAGGTAAGCCCTCAGACATATCTTTGTGATTCACGGTTCTCCTACATGGTGGGATTTAAAGGGTACAGAGACAACTTTACTGATTCCAAACAGATCCTGAGCCAATTAGGTATCTTAGTGTCTGAAATGGCTTTATTCATTCAATATGAGAGTTTATCAATATGAGAGCTTCAAATGTTGCCCTCCTAAGCCTTAAACCAACCCTGAGAGCTTAGGGTTATAGGTTCCCATTTTAGAAATGAGTAAACTGGTTGCGATTTATCCAGCTAGAAAGCATTGAAACAGGTTTAAATCTAGATCTGTCTGATACCAAATTACAAATTGTTTCTATCTATTGAAAGGCCAGTGAGTAGAGAGAGAAACATTTGTCTTCTGTCCAAATGTGGTCATATTTCATCCAGATACAAATATCCACTAATATGTAAAGACCACATTAAATAGGTAATATTTAAATAGGTAAAGGGCAAAGTTTCACTGAGAAAAAAAAAAAAAGACAAACTCTTCTGAACTCTACTTTGTCTCTATATTTACAGGTATAAAATAAAAATCTGTTAATTATTCAGCTTATTGGTAAATCATAACACAATAAAGCATTTATTGAGTTGTTTCTACTCCTTTTTCCTTATAATTATATTCACTAATAATACTCTGTGCAGAATCTGGATTAAAAAAATACTCTACTTTTTTTAATCCTCTGGTTAAAGAACAAAGCATAATAAGCTTCAGATTTAATATGATTAAATATTACTAACACCCAACTTTACCATGAGATGAAAATGAATTATATGACTCAATCAGTACTATTCCTGTGAAAATAATTTGGTTTCTGAGTCACCTAGGCAAGACAGAGCTAAGTTATCAGGCAAGTGCAGTTTTTCTTCATGTTCTCATGGTTACTGAGCTGTAGAGTTTAGATACCCCGTATAGCCCTGCTGTTCAGAGAAATCCGACAATTGAACTTTTTTCCAGTTTCACTCTTCCATTGACATGTACCTCTGCCCTTTTAAGTTTATCATCCAAAACGTTTGCTTTGCCACTAAATCACTTGTGTTTGAGGCCAAGTAGCTTTAGGGTATGGAACCTGCTCTGTCCTCAGGGTAGAGAAATAAAAGGTACATACAAAGTTTTTTATGATGATGGACAAACTATGTCAAGAAGGTAGAAAGTGGGACTCCTGAATTTGTATGGTGTCTCAATTTGGATCATTTACCAAATAGTTTTCATGTTTTCTTTCTAAAGTTTTATGTTCTGAATATAACATGTTGTACTAAATGTCCAAAGCACCCTTGGGACTAATTACTGGTTGCTTTGGATCACTGGTCTCTCATTTTCCTTAGCAACTCAGGGAAATTGGTCAAAATGCTTTGTGTAGTTACACCTTGTACTTTAATAAACTTGAAAGTACTACATACTCAGAGAGGCTTAGGTTTTCTGCCAGCTGGCAAGTAGTTTCCTGAAAAGGGTCCTCCTGACACGTGTCAAAGGCTCAGAGTCCTTACCTGCAGATCAAGGGCCATTTCTGTAGATAAAGACTTTTTGTTGTTGTTGTTCTGCAATAAATCATTATTACTTATTTATTTATTTAAAGCAAACCAGTGAAAGAAAGGACCAAAACCTTTGATTCATTTATATATTTATAAATGGAAAAAATTTGTAATGCAAATTTCACTTATTCAAAAACTTAGGTACAACTTACAACATTACAGATAATTCTTTTCCCTTCTTTTGTTTCACATGGAGACCTTGGAGACTCAATTCATGTTAGGACACCTAAGTATGAGTCCTCCAGGTAAATATTATACAAATCGGAAGCATCTAGGAATTTTTAAGTATATTTTAAGACATACATTTTTATGCATGCTTTAAACAAACAGTATTTTTTTTTTTTTGAGACAGAGTTTTGCTCTTGTTGCCCAGGCTAGAGTACAATGGTGCGATCTCGGCTCACTGCAACCTCCGCCTCCTGGGTTCAAGTGCTTCTCCTGCCTCAGCCTCCTGAGTAGCTGGGATTACAGGCATGCACCACCGTGCCTAATTTTGTATTTTTAGTAGAGACAGGGTTTCTCCATGTTGGTCAGGCTGGTCTCGAACTCCCGACCTCAGGCGATCTGTCTGCCTCAGACTCCCAAAGTGCTGGGATTACAGGCGTGAACCACCGCGCCCAGCCAGTATTTTATTTAATTTTTTTTAATGAGAGACTCTAACAAAAAAGCTATGACCAGCACCAGCATTTAAAGATAAAGCTTTGTGAATAAAACTTGGAATAGATTTTCTTTCTTCTTTCTTTCTTTTTCTTTGAGATCTGTTGCCCAGGCTAGAATGCCACGGTACAAACATAGCTCACTGTAGCTTTGACCTCCTGGGTTCAAGGGATCCTCCCACCTTAGCCTCCGGAGCAACTGGGACCACAGGTGGGCACCACCACATCTGGCTAATTATTTTTTATTTTTTGTAGAGACAGAGTCTGGACATCTTGCCTAGGCTGGTCTGAAACTCCCGGGCTCAAGCAATCTTCCCTCCTTGGCCTCCCAAAGTGCTGGGATTACAGGCCTGAGCCACTGCACCCACCCTTGGAATTGTATACTGTTCTTTAATATGCATTCAAGGCTATTTCTTATTTCATTGGCTTATATATTCATTCATTCTTTCACTCAGTAAGAATTCTTTGAGAATCAAACCCGCTCCTAATCTTTACACAGCTTACTGGTGCTTACCCTGAAGGGAGTACAGCCTCACACATATTTGAGGTCAGAAAATGCTGCCCTATGGGATGGGCATCTGTTTTAAGTTAAACCAGGTGGATGGATGGATGAAGGGGAGGGAACCAGGTCAACTGGGGAGATAGCAGTAGTTTTGCATAAAATCATGTGTGAGGATGTGGGTTGGGAAGGAGGCTTGCACATTTGAAAAACAGTATGTCCTTCAACAGTGTAGTTAGAGCATGGAGAATGACGGGGAGAGTTGTCAGAGGCAAAGTTGGAGAGGCTGGGAAGGGCCCGATCTAACTGAGGTAAGTCCTGGTAAGGATTATGAAGGTGATTCTGAGCGCAATGGGAATCCACTGAATGGCTTTGAATTGGGAAGTGGTGATATTTGCATTTCAAAAATAATTCACAACTATTGTTTGAGAATAGATTGGATGGAAGCAGGAGTGGCTAAGGGGAGCTTTGGAGGAAACTTTTGGGGAAAGTTCCAGGCAATAAATGAGAGTGCAAGTGGAGGCTGGCTGGCTGGCAGTGGCAGCTTTAGTGGGATCTGTCGATTGGTGGGTTTGAGAGTGAGGAAGGGCAGGATCCATGTTTCTGGATTGAGATAGGAAATGCAGAGAGAGAAAGTCTGGGTCAAACCTCAGGGTTGGTGGAGTGGGAGAGGTAGACAATAAACAAATAAATGGTGCATGGTAAGTTCTTTGATGGGAACAATACCATGTGATCTGGTAGAGTGGCTGAGGGCTTAGGAAAAGCCTCGTTGAGGTGATACATGAATTGAGACTGAATGATAAGAAGAAAGCACTGTGAGAAAAATCTAGAGAGAGCTTTCCAGGAAGTGGGAGCAGCAAGCACAAGTGCTCTAAGGCAGGAGTGTGGCTGGCATGTTCAACAGGAGAAAGTCATTGGCCTATAGGATTGGAATTAATGAGAAAGGAACAGTTATGGGCTCTGTCCCAGAGAGGCAGGCAGGGACCATGCCACATCGGGTGCCGTTGGGCATGGTAAGCAGTCTGAAGTTTATCTGTAATGCAGTGGGAAGAAGACAATGGAAGGTTTTGATCAGGGGAATGACATGTTCTGCTTTATATTTTATAAAATATAACTAGCTGCTGGGTGGAGAGGAGGCTGTTGTCAGGCAAATGTTGAAGTAGGGAGAAGAACTAGGTTATGGAAGTCATTCAAGTGAGCAGTGACAGTAAATTGGACTATGGGGGTGGTGGAGACGAAGAGAGCTGGACAAATCTATGATGTTTGGGAGATAAAGTCAGTAGGGTTTGCTGATGAAAAGGATGTCATGATTGAAGGAAGGAAAAAGAGGAGTTTAGAAACACTCTTAAGGTTTTGGTGTAAGCATATCGGAGGCTAGTGGTGCCATTTACTAAAATGTGCAAGTCTGGGAAGGAGCAGGATGCAGAGAGGAATTCACTCTCTGTTTTAGACACGTTGTTTGAGATGCTTGTTAGGCATTCTAGGCTCATGTTCAAGTAGGCTGTTGGATAAAAACTTCGAGTTTAAGAAGAGGTCAAGGCTGGAGATGGGGGCATTTGGGAGTCCTTGCATTTGGTTTCACGTTCAAAAGAACCCTTTTGTGCTCGGCTCCGTGATTCCAAGGAGTTGATTAGTTTTTCCAGCCACTTTTGTACTAAGTTCATAACCATCATCAAGTTATGTTCCCTTGTAAGTAAAAAGAAGAAGTGAAAGAAAGAAAAAAGACATTTAAAGTTGCAACATATACAAATTTAATTTTAGGCCTAATATGATGGTTTGTGATATTACAGAGAGATTAAAGTGGTCTAAATCAAGAAACATTTTATCCCAAAAGTTAGGCATCTGCAAAACTAGGCTAATTGTCCATTCTGTGTTTGGAACTTTATCTAATGAAAGTTTAGGCAAAATATATAGCAAGCATTTTAAATATGTAACTAATAATAAAACTGATTTCAACATTCATCATGGATTTTGGGCATAGTATTTGGCAGTATATTTTGCATACCACTAATATGTGTTTGAAACTGCTAAATTTTAATATTATTATCTAGAAATTAGTTGCCAGTAGGGGAGAATCTAATTTTCATTTTTGTAGTGGCTAAAATTTCTTGTCATTCAGCTCAAATCACTGCTGTTGTCAATGTTAGTCAGGAAATGTGAGTTTGCTGGGTTTTTTTATGTTTTAATTCAAATATAAATGTTAATAGAAGTGGTATCAGTTTCTCTGTGAAGTTATTGCTGCCAGTTAAGTAAGGTGTGTAGGAGAGAAAGAAAAAGATTTTCTTGGCCTAGTTTCCCATCATAGTTTAAATAGTTGTATTTTTAGCTAGCAGAAGGATGGTTATATGTAGGATATATATATATGTCCATTCATCTCTCTTTAGTTACACATTCATATTTTAATCAGTTCTGGTTGTGACCCTAAAGAAGTCATTTTATATCTTCCTCTCTTTGGTCTCATCTCTTACTAAGAGAACTGGTGCATTGGCACGGAGCCACTTGAAACAATTTTAACATCCTTATCAGCCCTTCCCTGACAGTGAATGTCATCTGTCTCATGTGAGCCAAATGAATTCTGTTTCATCACCCAGTGTTTTCAGGTTTCTTTCCTCCCCCAACTATCTCACACAAACTTGCAACATGGCACTATAGGAATCCACTTTTATATTACTTGCCTGATATCGCAGTCTTCCTTGATTATTTGTGGATGGTACACTGTTTTATAGTTTTACAGTTGACTGTTTATGATTGTTATCTATTCAGAAATTATCTCCTATAAATTGCCTGTAAGACATAGAGTTATATTTAAAGGATGGGATAAAGATGTATTTGAAAATGCTAAATCCTCTCTGTAACAGTCAGCTAGAAAGATGATTTGGGCATGAAGACTCACAAAAGTATTTTCTTCCTGATAAACAAAAGGGATTCATTAGAAGGAGATCTTGTCTGAAGTCAGTCCCTCATATCAGGTCCTTGGACACCATGGCTTGATCACCACTTATGATCGTAGCTAAATCTTTTGGGCATGTCGCATTGCCCTTTGGCTTCTGTCTCAGTTTGTCCTTTTGGGGAAGACTCCCCAAAAGTGGTTTTCTCCTTTATCGTTATTCTGAAATCTTTCACACTTGTGGGTGTGTTTGAGATACTGTATTGCTTGCAATGGTAAAACATTTAGGATACCTTTAGGTGTTGCATGAGGCTGCTTGCATATGAGTAGAGTTGTGAGGTGGGTGAAGTCTGTTTTCCAGAGTTCCAGGCCCTCCACCTCCTTCCCTTCCCCCTTGTCTATTTATCCCCCTCCTTAGTAGCACCAGCTACCCTCCCATTTTCTACCTCTTTTTCCCCCATTGAAACTTGCTTTCAGCAAAGTATCTAAACATATTCATAGAACGTGGTAAGTGTATCAAAATGATAAGCATTTTTATGTGTCAGATGACAAATATGTTCATCAGTTTGACTTAATCATTCCACATTTATACATATAGTAAAACATTACATTGTGCCCCATAAATGTATACACTTATGATTTGCCAATTAAAAATGCTCTTAATAATAAAAAAGTGTGAATGCTATTTAACATGATTACTCATAAGGAGACTTTGTGTTTTCAAGCCATAAAAAGTCTTAAAATGACAGGTAGTAAACATTTAACTAGGCAGTTTTAGAAGCAACCTCACTGTCCTTGGTAGCGGGATTGTCCTGGAAAACCTACTGTGTAGGAGGTTGACTTCTCCACCTACCTGTGAGCTCGGGCCCCTTCCATGGACTTTACTGCCAGCCGGGATCTGATCTGAGGCTGCTGCATTGTAGTCTCATCTGTGGAAGACATGGAGGAGCCTCCAGTTACTTGGGAGCAATGACTGGAGTTTGTTAGGGCTGGAGGGGCTGTGAAGGATGTTCAAAGCTTTTTTTTTTTTTTTTTCCTGAGATGAAGTCTTGCTCTGTCGCTCAGGCTGGAGTGCAGTGGCGCAATCTCAGCTCACTGCAACCTCCACCGCCTGGGTTCAAGCAATTCTCCTGCCTCAGCCTCCTGAGTAGCTGGGACTATAGTCATGCACTACCATATCCAGCTAGGATGCTCGAGGCATTCTATATAGTCTTTAATATAGTGCACCACAGGCTAGTTAAGTGACTGTGATCCTTCACTGCATGAACTTTCACTTTTGGACAAAAATAAATAAGAGGATTCTGTCCAAGACTCTTGTGGTAAATACATTATACATAAGTGTACAGCACCAGAAAATTTGTAAATGTTTTATGTGCATTTATGTTTTTCAGGATGTCTAACAAAACATTCCTACTATGTTGTGTATCTCCCTTTCAGCTCCATGTTGTTCATTGGAATTCAGACAAATACCCCAGCTTTGTTGAGGCAGCTCATGAACCAGATGGACTGGCTGTCTTGGGAGTGTTTTTACAGGTGAGAATCTACTGATTTCATGTAAAATGATCAGCCTTGTTGAAGAAAGAGCTTCAGTCACGAAGTAGACATTTAACCGTCTTGTTTAATAGTAAACTCAATTTAGTTGTAGCATTTTCCTTTTGCAATGAATATTTAAAAATTATATATTCATTTAGGAGCATTGTCTTATAAGTCTTCTTATTGTCCATTGATCATTTTTATGTGAATAACAACAGCAGCATCAACATCAAGAACAGCAGCAGAAATAACAACTGAGATACTGGAAGAAAACATTTATTCTGGGCTCTTCCTAATTGTATACTATTTAGGACAGAATAAAGTTCAAGCTCCTGATTTTTCAAACACTGGTCTCACCATAATGACATATTGTCCCAATGTGCTCACTGGTTTTTTAAAAAAAAATTTATTGTATTTCCTTTAATATAATATTCACATTTGGTTAGACAATTATTGTCATCATACCTGGGAACAGGTTGGGCTTCTCACCTCCCTCCGCCTCCACATTCTTGTAGGCGTGCCCCTTTGTCACACCCCATACTCTCCATATGTTGTAACTCATGAACAGGGAATACCATGGATGGCAACAGTTCCTTGCCTCTGGACACCAAGTAGGGGTGGTTGTGGCAGGATCCAGGTGCTTTAAAACCTTCAGGTAGATTCAGAACACCCGTAATAATGAAAAGAGGATCCTTTATGAATCTATAATTTATGATGAGTTTGCTTATGATGATATATTCTCTTGATTTGCAACCTTAAATCATTTTAGGCTGCAAATGTGAGATGTTTGCATCTAGCATTTTGATGCCACCATTGTCCGTTTGAATTGAGGGGCTGACTGTCACATCTAGCTAGGTAGTGCAGGTTATTTGTTAGACTGTCTTACACAAAGTTTCTCTCAAGTTAACCTACATCTTAAACACTGATAAAACTTAACAAATATTAAGCTGTTACTATTAGTTTTGGGTCTAAGCTGCAAGTTCAGTACAGGAACCCTGTAATATTATCTTGTTCAGATCCTTCTGTCATGATAAGACTGGCAGGTAAAAGAGAAGCTTTGTTATAGAACAATCACTGTATGTTCTGTGCTGGCTGAGGTTTTTTAAAAATAATTTTAAAATGGTGGCTGAAATTGAGTGATTCCGACCTGATCTGCTACAGTAACCATTTCTTTTGAAATTTTATGTTTTTAGATTGGTGAACCTAATTCCCAACTGCAAAAGATTACTGACATTTTGGATTCCATTAAAGAAAAGGTAAAATGAATTACTATTTGTTAATAATTAACGTATTTTTTGTTCTCTCACACATTTTCTTATCTTCCTTTAAAGACTTAGACATATGCTGCCTGCTTTGAAGTTTGCAGCATACTTGATGAAAAAAAAGCAGAAGTAACCTGTTATCACTTATCTTTTGAATGTAAAGGTCTTAAATTACCTAAAATCAACATGAATACATATACTTATGCATAACTAGTCTCTGGTATTATATTACAGAGTAAGCCTTTAATTGTAACACATTTAAAGGACCACTTATATTAAAACAAACCTTATGCTTCTTAAATAAATCTATATGATATGTTACTTTATCTAAAATTTTTAAGATGAAGATAGATGCTTTTTAAAAGATACTAAAAGAAGATATTAGATAACTCTGGATGCAGATATTCTATATTTACATAATTATAATGGATGTGCATGGATGTATGTTTTTTGAGGTCTATGTAAAGCTATCCCATTATAATTTGTGGGAATTCTTTTTGTTCCCCCAGGGTAAACAAACTCGATTCACAAATTTTGACCCATTATCTCTGCTTCCACCGTCCTGGGACTACTGGACATATCCTGGTTCTCTTACAGTTCCACCTCTTCTTGAGAGTGTCATATGGATTGTTTTAAAGCAACCGATAAACGTCAGCTCTCAACAGGTACATAATCTCTTCCAGGTTGATACTGATTCCCTTAGAGGAAAGTGGGCTTTTTTTTTTTTTTCAACCCTGCCCTTAATTTCTGCTGTGTTTTGAAGTCTGTGTTTTCTCTTTATTCATCAGATGGGTGATTGGGCTAGATGAGATCTGTGCCCCTTTCATATTTGACCTTCTGTGATTAGACGATTTATTTGCCACTTCTTAGAAATGTACATAGCGACACTGATGAAAGTGAAGCATCATTTTGAGCACTATAATCATTTGCTTTTGTTTTGTTGCTGTTTTATATGGGGATATAAACAGTCTGAGATACAAACAAAAAAATCAGAGACAGGCTACTTATAGAAGGTGACATTTTTCTTTCTGACCTGAGTCTCCACTCCTGCTTCTACAAATTTCCAAGTGAAACTTGAGGACAGTGATTCGTGCAGTGCCTTAAGAAATGTGTGCCTGCTAAGTGTAAGATATTGTTGTTTTGTACACTTAAAAACTAGTTAAGTGGGTAGGCTGGGCACAGTGGATCCTGCATGTAATCTCAGCACTTTGGGAGGCTGAGATGGGTGGATCGCTTGAGCCCTGGAGTTTGAGACCAGCCTGGGCAACATGGTAAAACCCCGTCTCTACAAAAAATACAAAAATTAGCCAGGTGTGGTGGTGCGTGCCTGTAGTCCCAGCTACTCGAGGGGTTGAGGTGGGAGGATTGCTTGAACCCAAGAGGCAGATGCTGCAGTGAATCAGGATCATGCTGCTGCATTCCAGAGCAAGACTTTTGTCTCAAAAAATTTTCTTTTGTTAAGAGGGTAGATCTCATTTAAGTGTTAGAGAAAAGAGAGAGAAAGGGGAGGGGAGTGAGAGGGAGAGGAACAATTGTTGATCTTTTGGCATTTGTTGACAAAAACTTTTGTTGGGCTGTCTGAGGGGCTTAATGCTTAAAGCATTTGTAGAGAGGCTGTGGGGAGGCTCTTTTTGTGTAGACATCTAGTCACTCATTCTTCTGTTAAATGCTTATGGAGCTTCCCCTGTAGGCCAAGAGTCTGCCAGACTCAGGATATCCAGTTTGTCAACCAGGCTGGTGTGGAGTGGATGCAACCATACCTCACCCCAACCTTGAACTCCTGGGCTCAAGCTGTTCATCTTCCTGCCTCAGCCTCCCATGTAGCTGGAACTACAGTGGCACGCCACCATGACTGGCTTATTACTTTGAAAAAGTTTGTGTAGACAGGATCTTGCGTTATTTCCCTGGCTGGTCTTGAAGTGATCCACTTCTGGCCTCAAATGATCCTTTTGCTTCGGCCTCCCGAAGTGCTAGGATTACAGGCATGAGCCACCGCGCCCAGTCAGGATATCCAGTCTTTAATGTTCAAAAACTGTGCCTGGAGCGCTGAACCAGGGGGCTGGCCAATCTGATGGGTGGATGCTGTGTGTTCTTGGATGCTGTGCTTCTTCGTTGGTTTTGTTTTTGTTGTTCTTTTTGAATTAGGTGCAATATCTTATCATGAACATAGTCTAGTAATTTTTTTTTTTTTTTTTTTTTTGGAAACAGAGTCTCACTCTGTTGCCCAGGCTGGAGTGCAGTGGCGCAATCTTGGCTCACTGCAAGCTCCGCCTCCCGGGTTCACAACATTCTCCTGCCTCAGCCTCCCGAGTAGCTGGGACTACAGGCGCCCACCACCGTGCCCGGCTAATTCTTTGTATTTTAAGTAGAGACGGGGTTTCATCATGTTAGCCAGGATGGTCTCGATCTCCTGACCTCATGATCTGCCCACCTCAGCCTCCCAAAGTGCTGGGATTACAGGCGTGATAGTCTAGTAATTTTTGCAGCTAATAAAGTACACATGTACTGGGCTTGCCCACCTGCCTACCTCTTTATTTTTCCTCCTAATGATACCAGAGCTGGCCCACCTTTACCGAGATCATTTCAGGCAGCATTTCCCCTTGGAGCATTGAACACATCCTTCTTTCTGTTGGGTGTTTCTCCTTGTTGACCTTGTTTTTAGGATTAAAGGCAAATAATAACCTAGTGTGTATACTTTTTAAAACATTTTACAAAGGTCTGTGTAGAAATCCAGAGCTTGACTGACATGAAAACTCCTGTGAATTTTTCTATCATTGTATCATGAGAAAAATGACCTGTTACTGATTCAGAGTCCTTAATAAGGGAATTCATTTTTCTCCCTGTCACATGCTAAATGGTTTACTTTTATATTTCTTTATTAAATTTGAACTGAATGATATTAAGAATGAATAAACTATAACATCAAGGTGGTTAATAAGGGAATCATATTTTCCATCATATTTCAAGGAGACTGTTATTTCTTAAAGCCACTTGGAAAATAACTTTTTGTTTAGTTTTATTTTTTGCTTTCAATCCACCAGTGATCTGGAGGAGAATATATCAAAATATATAGTTTAGTTCCTTAAAAATAATAAAGTTAACCTTATTAAAAATATCTACCTGCAAGTTTAGGAATTATGACTGCCTAGCTGTGGATTCACTACTTTGTCTTATTTGAGGCTCAATGGATTACTATTATTAATGTGGTTTTTCTGCAGAACAGTATATAAAATAATAGCTGTGTTTTAGAGCTCTGAAGTGATTGTTAATTCACTTTGGAGCATCCACTTAAATCTCCTCTAGTAGGAACACTTTCACATATTTTAGTTTCTAACCAAATTGAGAAAGTTATTTGAGTAACAATTCAATTTATTAAAATCTGATATTGTGGTGGTTTTAAAAGTTAAAGAATAAAGCAAAAGAAAAAAAATTCAGTCCCAGTCTAACCATGAAAAAATATCAGGCAAAATCCAGTCAGGGGACATTCTATAAAATAGTCAGTATTCTCAAGGTCATTAAAACTGCCAAGGTCATCAAAAACAAGGTAAGTCTGAGACACTGTCACAATCAAGAAATGCCCAAGGAGATATGAATACTAAGTGTAGTGTTGTCCGGATTTTTTCCTAGGGTTTTCTCCACAGTTTCCTGTCAAGTTACAGTTTGACCTAAGGGGCAAATCAGATGTTTTTCATTTTCTTTTTCTTGATTTAAGTCCATTTTTCTCTCTCAGAGTCACTCATTGAGGACTAAATTCTTAACTGCCATGCCAGTGAGCAGATAAATGTACTATTTTCTGATCCTTTTGAAGACAAATCTGTCATTTTCTCTGGAGGGCCAACTTCTCTTGCCAAGTCTCTTTGGGTTATCTTAAATCATCAACATTGGGTTACTCAGCTGAAATTCAATATGCAAAATACTTGGCTTTGTTTCTACTCTCCTTTTAAAGAAAAATAACTATTTTTTATTATGATATTATTTGCATGCAGTGAAACTCATGAATTTTAAGTGTGTGGTTGCTGATTTTGGTAACTGTATATAGACATGCTACAACTACTGCAGTCAAGATGTAGTTCTCAACCACCACTGTGGCTCACACCTCTAATCCTAGCATTTTGGGAGGCCAAGGCGGGTGAATCTCCTAAGGTCTGGAGTTCGAGACCAGCCTGGTCAACATGGTAAAACCCTGTCTCTACTAAAAATACAAAAATTAGCCACGTGTGGTGGTGTACGCCTATAATCCCAGCTACTCAGGAGGCTGAGGCAGGAGAATCGCTTGAACCCGGGAGGCAAGGTTGCAGTGAGCCCAGATTGCACCGCTGCACTCCAGCCTGGGTGACAGAGCAAGACTCCATCTCAAAATAAATAAATAAAAGATAGAGATCTCAGCCAAAAATTTTCTGGTGCTCTCTTGCAGTCCTTCACCTTCTTCACTATAGTCCTAGGCAACAACTGATGTGCTGTCGCTAGAATTTTACT